TTTGGAATAAAAATTAAAATAGATCCTGCTGTAACTTTTACAGTATAACAAGATAATAAATATTTAGCGAGCGTTTTGCAATCAAATACTCACCTACGCGTGTGCGCGATATTTTCAATAATACTCCCCGGTTTTATATCGCCTAAATTCGGTTTCTTGCTAGCACGTGCTCTTCTCGCTCTATTTCGCAGAGCCTGAAACGATCAATTGAAAACTTACATTATAATATAAATCAAATGAGGGGTTGCAAACACAAGACGTAAACGTATATAACATAAATCTTGCGTGAGATTCTTGCAGATAACGTCCGAGACGTGTTATTGAGTACCTATCTATGGATAACAAGATTTATTTCTACAGTTTTAGGAAAGAAAATATCCGTCCTGCGAAAGCATTATAATATTTTGTTGTCGATTTAGCTACATCGAGAAGAATTAAATTTTTTTCTTTAGTAAATTTAAAAGAAGAATTATACATATTTTTTTGATATAAACTTCTTTGTGATAATATACATACATAATTGCGTAACATAACGAAAACATAAAGAGACATAAATATACGCTAACTTGAAAAAAAAAACATTTTTATACAATCATTTTTTTAGACAACAAATTCTCTGTAGTTTTAATAAAATTAATAGGACAAAAATTATAGTCAAACATATATATATATATATTTTTTAAGCTAATGTAGTGCTGCTCAAATCATAATACTAATTAACATATAAACTACTATATACATATGAAACATTTTTTATCTAATAAATATATCTGTTTTATATATCTGTATTTACAACTAAGATTCAATAAACATTATTATATATCTGTATTTATTTTACATTTTATCTGTATTTTATTTCACGTTTTTTGTAAAATTTCTTAAAAAAAATATATATAATTGAAATAAGACTTGTATTATAAATTTGCACTAAAATATTAATACAATTCTGTTAAAGTTCTTTTACTAAAATTTCATTAGTTTTTATCTTGACAGCTCACAGAATGATCGGATATTTTTTATTTTCTTATAATTTTTATTTTCTATTTAGATAAAAACTTATGTATTTTATATTTTTTACAAATTTTACGAAATTGAAAATTTGCAAATGACAATAATCATCAAAGATGCGTTTTATCTGATATAACTCATGATATTGCACAAATGATATGTGGTCACATTCAAAACAGAAACTATCAATATTATTACGGCATTTCACATACATTATCTGCCACAAGTATGAATTAACAGTTCAATGCAAATATTCTATGCGCTATAAACATGAAAATTATCAGACTAGTCTGATGACTAGACTATTTATGCGATCAACTGCAATATAATAATCGCTAAATACACCCACAAAATACTTTGTTCGTGTTCGAAATTACTCATATAAAATTTGAAAATAATTTATATGAAATACAAAACATTCGACAGATAGGTATGTAAAATTGGTTTTATAAGTATATTTACAGCAATATTTCTCGTGTAATCATATTTTAATCTATACCTTTATGTCCTTTTTGTTTTTCGAAATATATTTTGTATGTGGTCACATTGTAATTATATAATAGATATATGTATATATTTATTATAATCCTGACATACCAAAAAATATTTAGATAATATTACGATATTACATACAATTTTTATATATTATATTATATTTTTCAATCTATATTTTCAAGGCGCAATTAAAAAATTTCTTTGTCAGTAACAGAACTGAATTAATTTTAGTGGTGCCGCAGCATATAAGTGACAATTAAATTACGAAGACAGCGGACCTGCCTTTACAAGAGCTTTCATGGAAGCAGCCAATTTTGCGATCAGTTCACGTTCCTGAACTATCACAGAGATAAAAGAAGCGCGAATAAATTTTTGCCCTTTTGTAATTGAGCAAGAGATAATTTCTTTTGCGTCTTCTTGTCATCGCGTGCGTGCGTTGATTCAACTACAAAGACAGCAATATAGACTTCTTTTAAAGGAGAATCTTTGAAATAAATTTCATTGCACTTTTTGTACAATTGATATGCAACATAATTGTATTATATTTTAATAGAAATAAAATTAAGCTGCAAATAAAATATAATTTAATTGACAACTTTATTTAAAATGTTACTTATTTACAAAGTTAATTAATCTTTAATTTGAAATATATTTTAATATCTATTACCTATCAAAAATCGCAATTATATTTAAAAAAGTTGGAAAATTCTTTTAAAATTAAAATATTGTAATTATTTTTAATTTACAAAGGTTTTTAATTATTATATTAAATTTCGTTTACGTCATCTATAATGTGTATTAACAACAATTAATACAACAACGATAATGGTTTATTTAATTTATATATTTTAATATATATATATACATATGTATATATATACATATATATATATATATATATATATATATATATATTTATTTGTACTTAATAATTATGTGCATATAACTAACAAGCAAAACGTTAAGATATTTTAATTCAGGTATTTATATTTTCACAATTCTGTGCAGATTATCAAATACTTCAAGCAATCTTTTAAGTTCTGGTAACGATACTGCCACATCAAGCAGTTTTTATCAGTCAATTGTAAGTACTGACCTTACTGATTCTGAGGAATGTGTCGATATGTGTGATACAAAAGTGGAAAAGTTTTTTGAGTGTGATAAAGAAGAAAGTTATTCAATTATCTCGTTTGATAAATATTAATAATTTATACTCTTTTCTCGATGTAATATAAAACAAAATAACATGAAATTATAATTATATGAACTATTTTGCGAATACAATTTGTTAATTATCAGGCAATTTGTTAGTTATCAAGTTGCTTTTTTAAATTCTTCACATTTATAATTTTTTTACATTTATAATAAGACATTATATATTATATAACATAAATTTATTATTAATTCTGCAAGAATAATTTTAAAAGTATTGTATTGATAAAAATATTTAATCAGATATACTTTTGTATTTGTTTTGAAATATATTGTTGATAGTCATTTTGATAAGAATTAAAATATTCAACATAATAAAGAAAGTAGCATTTTTAAATAATTTTAATGGTAAAAGTGAGGACGTTAGACATATTTACACTGTGTATTAATATTTACATTCCTGTAACAAATCATACATTTTCCGGCGACCTTTCCCTTTTTTGTTAATAATATTTTATATTCTTCGTACAGTTTTTGTTAAAATAATTCTTTCTATCCAGTAGTGCACGATCAACGATACAAAGCAGATATCATTATAGCCACGTCGAGCGAAGGTAATAAACTGATTATAGAATTCTATCAAAAAACAATAGTTCATGTAATATTTGTAATAATTTTTATTAATTCTATCGAATACAAAATTAAATTTTAATAAAATCCTGAAAAAGTATACATAGTGATGGTTAACAAAGTCATGTTTCATCATCAAATCACTCACAAAAAATTTAGCAATTTTATTAAAATATTTCGTTACAAAATAAACTATATTACAAAAGAATGAATTACAAAATATCAAAAAAAGTTCTGTTATAAAACTGACCCTAAAACCACACACAAGAATATATTGAATATTAATAAATAACATAATTAAATTATAATTTTGTTTTTCTTAATCATTTATATGTATATCTATATTTTGTGTTGTTTGTGTTTACGTACATTTGTAAGTTTTAAACAGAATAGTATATGTATCATAAATAATTAAATAGAATTCAGACTTTAAAAATGTAATTTTGTCACAGATATTAGATATATACTATTTTAGTACCAATTTCGAAAAAATCGGTTCATAAATATGCAATTGCGTGGGTGAGTGCGTGGGTGGAGGTGTAAAACTTAAAAAAAACCACATAACATCCATCCCCGAAAAATTTGCAACATTTTAGTACCTGTTTTACGAAAATCGGTCCATAAATGTGAAAGTACCGGTTAGACAGACATACAGACAGATGGTGCTTATTATTATAGATATAAATATTTGAGGCTATTTATATAGCTAATATTATATTCAAATGCGATCGTATAAATATGCCATCTGTTGTATTTTATACTCTTGTAATCTATAACAATTTAAATAGGTTGTTGTAATATCTATTTATAATTTTATTAAATTAAATAAGTATAATAATTAAATAATTAAGCAAAAATATTTGTATTTAAATAATAAGTGTATGTCGAATTATAAAAATAGTAAAAAAAGATTGAAATTTAAATTTTTGTCGAGAAATGTTTAATAAAAATGTTTTATTAAGTTAAAATGTTGTACCTTATATATATATATATAGATGCCTATATATATATATATATATATATATATATATATATATATATATATATATATATAGGCATCTATAAATGTTGTACCCTATATATATATAGGCATCTATAAATGTTGTACCATATATATATATATATATATATATATATATATATATATATATATATATATATATATATATATATATATATATAGATTTATTTTATAATAATAATAATTCATAATTATTTCAACATTCAAACTTTACTTATTTTTTAATTTACCATGAAAATTTTATTGCAGATTATAATTATAAGAGGACAATGGAGATTACTGAAGAAGAAAGTTGTTCATCGTATCCACCTTGTGTTCCTACCAATAAGTAATTATTTACACTGCTTTTTTTAGTGTAACATAAAACAAAATATCACAAAATTATTTTGACCTTTTTGAGAACATATAGCTTGTTAATTATCTACATATATATTAAGCATCGATATAGACACAAAATGTTTTAAACTTTTATCAAATGATTTACATTTATTATTTGTATTTAATAATTATACATTATGCACATGAATTACTAACAAGACATTAAAATATATTGATTAATTCGGCAATTTGTACTTTTTATTTTATGCAGAACATCAAGGTCTGATGAATGGATATGGCATTACTTTACAATATATAACGGTGAATTTATCAAATGCGATATTTGTTTTGATGTATTCAACCCCGATATAAAACACAGTTTAAAGATACATATGAGATCACAACATTTAGCAATTTATAATAACTCAGAAACAAAATGGACACATTCTAAAATAGATCACAAATATAAATGTAATTATTGTGATAATACTTATGAACCAATATATAGAACTGATTATTTGATAAACCACATAATAAATAGTCATAAACTTAATAAAGAAATAGCAAATAAACTCCAAACCTGGGTGATTGATCAATTCATTATTCCGAAATGCGAAATTTGCAAACAATTTAGTAAATACCATGCCTTTATATTTATGATACATTTAAAGGAAGTTCATGATGTCATTGTACCTCAAGAATTCATACCACAGAGGTAAGAAGAATAATCGATAAAATTTTATTGCTATGTTTTTTATCTTTTATATGTCTTTTTATGTACAAAATGAACAGAAATGTGTACAATAAATAAAAAATAAATTTTAATTTTTAGAAAAATTAAAATATTTAATAAGTATTCAAATTGTATTAATTTAATTATGAAAAAATTGAAAAAAAATAGAAACTAAACTTTTCAATAAGAATTGCTTAAATAAGAATAAAATTTTATTGTAATTAATAATTATTCATTGTACACATGGTTCAAGCGTCTTATAACATTGATTAATTTATAATTTTTGTTGTTAATTTTGTTATGCAGATTATCAATTAGATTAAAAAATCTTTTTGATCCTTGTAAAAATGTTGAAAACATTCCAACATCAACCAGCAATAATCATCAGCAGCCATCTATAATTAGAACTTACTTTAAGGATTATGATCCGACTTTTCATTCTTCCGATACATTTGACAATGAGTAATTATTTATACTGATTTCTCGATGTAACATAAAGTGGAATAATATGAAATTATAATTATATTGACTGTTTTACGAACATACAATTTGTTAATTATCTACATATTAAGCATCGATATATAAACACAAAATTAAAAAAAATTTTTCTCAAATGATTGACATCTATTATTTGTATTTAATAATTATACGTTATGCACAAGAATTACAAACAAAACTTTAAAATATTGATTAATTCAGCAATATGTATTTTTATTTTTTAAGCAGAACATCAAGGTCTCGTGACTCGTGGTCATGGCATTACTTTACAACATATAACGGCGAATTTATCAAATGCGATATTTGTTTTGATGTATTCAACCACGATATAACACAGGGTTTAAAGATACATATGAGATCACAACATTCTGCAATTTATAATAACTCAGAAACAAAATGGACACATTCTAAAATAGATCACAAATTTAAATGTAATTATTGTGATAATACATATGAACCAGCATATAGAACTGATAATATGATAAAACACATAAAAAATAGTCATAAACTTAATAAAGAAATAGCAAATAAACTCCAAACCTGGGTGATTGATCAATTCATTATTCCGAAATGCGAAATTTGCAAACAATTTAATAAATACCATGCCTTTATATTTATGATACATTTAAAGGAAGTTCATGATGTCATTGTACCTCAAGAATTCATACCACAGAGGTAAGAAGAATAATCGATAAAATTTTATTGCTATGTTTTTTATCTTTTATATGTCTTTTTATTAACAAAATGAACAGAAATGTGTACAATAAATAAAAAATAAATTTTAATTTTTAGAAAAATTAAAATATTTAATAAGTATTCAAATTGTATTAATTTAATTATAAAAAAATTGAAAAAAAATAGAAACTAAACTTTTCAATAAGAATTGCTTAAATAAGAATAAAATTTTATTGTAATTAATAATTATTCATTGTACACATGGTTCAAGCGTCTTATAACATTGATTAATTTATAATTTTTGTTGTTAATTTTGTTATGCAGATTATCAATTAGATTAAAAAATCTTTTTGATCCTTGTAAAAATGTTGAAAACATTCCAACATCAACCAGCAATAATCATCAGCAGCCATCTATAATTAGAACTTACTTTAAGGATTATGATCCGACTTTTCATTCTTCCGATACATTCGAGTAATTATTTATACTGATTTCTCGATGTAACATAAAGTGGAATAATATGAAATTATAATTATATTGACTGTTTTACGAACATACAATTTGTTAATTATCTACATATTAAGCATCGATATATAAACACAAAATTAAAAAAAATTTTTTTCAAATGATTGACATCTATTATTTGTATTTAATAATTATACGTTATGCACAAGAATTACAAACAAAACTTTAAAATATTGATTAATTCAGCAATTTGTACTTTTTATTTTATGCAGAACATCAAGGTCTGATGAATGGATATGGCATTACTTTACAATATATAACGGTGAATTTATCAAATGCGATATTTGTTTTAATGTATTCAACCCCGATATAAAACGCAGTTTAAAGATACATATGAAATCAAAACATTTAGCAATTTATAATAACTCAGAAACAAAATGGACACATTCTGAAATAGATCACAAATATAAATGTAATTATTGTGATAATACTTATGAACCAATATATAGAACTGATAGAATGATAAACCACATAATAAATAGTCATAAACTTAATAAAGAAATAGCAAATAAACTCCAAACCTGGGTGATTGATCAATTCATTATTCCGAAATGCGAAATTTGCAAACAATTTAGTAAATACCATGCCTTTATATTTATGATACATTTAAAGGAAGTTCATGATGTCATTGTACCTCAAGAATTCATACCACAGAGGTAAGAAGAATAATCGATAAAATTTTATTGCTATGTTTTTTATCTTTTATATGTCTTTTTATGTACAAAATGAACAGAAATGTGTACAATAAATAAAAAATAAATTTTAATTTTTAGAAAAATTAAAATATTTAATAAGTATTCAAATTGTATTAATTTAATTATGAAAAAATTGAAAAAAAATAGAAACTAAACTTTTCAATAAGAATTGCTTAAATAAGAAAAAAATTTTATTGTAATTAATAATTATTCATTGTACACATGGTTCAAGCGTCTTATAACATTGATTAATTTATAATTTTTGTTGTTAATTTTGTTATGCAGATTATCAATTAAATTAAAAAATCTTTTTGATCCTTGTAAAAATGTTGAAAACATTCCAACATCAACCAGCAATAATCATCAGCAGCCATTTATAATTAGAACTTACTTTAAGGATTATGATCCGACTTTTCATTCTTCCGATACATTTGAGTAATTATTTATACTGATTTCTCGATGTAACATAAAGTGGAATAATATGAAATTATAATTATATTGACTGTTTTACGAACATACAATTTGTTAATTATCTACATATTAAGCATCGATATATAAACACAAAATTAAAAAAAATTTTTTCAAATGATTGACATCTATTATTTGTATTTAATAATTATACGTTATGCACAAGAATTACAAACAAAACTTTAAAATATTGATTAATTCAGCAATATGTACTTTTTATTTTTTAAACAGAACATCAAGGTCTCGTGACTCGTGGTCATGGCATTACTTTACAATATATAACGGCGAATTTATCAAATGCGCTATTTGTTTTGATGTATTCAACCACGATATAACACAGGGTTTAAAGATACATATGAGATCACAACATTCTGCAATTTATAATAACTCAGAAACAAAATGGACACATTCTAAAATAGATCACAAATTAAAATGTAATTATTGTGATAATACTTATGAACCAGCATATAGAACTGATAATATGATAAAACACATAAAAAATAATCATAAACTTAATAAAGAAATAGCAAATAAACTCCAAACCTGGGTGATTGATCAATTCATTATTCCGAAATGCGAAATTTGCAAACAATTTAGTAAATACCATGCCTTTATATTTATGATACATTTAAAGGAAGTTCATGATGTCATTGTACCTCAAGAATTCATACCACAGAGGTAAGAAGAATAATCGATAAAATTTTATTGCTATGTTTTTTATCTTTTATATGTTGTTTTATGTACAAAATGAACAGAAATGTGTACAATGAATAAAAAATAAATTTTAATTTATAAAATGCGTAGGAATATGAATATTTGAGTCAATATATAACTTATGTAGCTAATATATATTATATATAAATGTAATTACACAAATTTGTTCTCTATTGTATTTCTTGTAATTGGTAATGTTTAATAATTTAATTAAGTAGAAATTATGAATAAGTATAAAAATTAAATAATCGGACAAGGAAAATGGTATTTAAATAATATTTGTATATCCCAAATTTATGAAAATATTTAAAAAAGCAAAAATTAAAATATTTAATAAGTATTCAAATTGTATTAATTTAATTATAAAAAAATTGAAAGAAATAGAAACTAAAATTTTCAATAAGAATTGCTTAAATAAGAAAAAAGTTTTATTGTGATTAATAATTATTCATTGTACACATGGTTCAAGCAAGTCTTATAACATTGATTAATTCAAAATTTTTGTTGTTAATTTTGTTATGCAGATTATCATTTAGATTAAAAAATCTTTTTGATCCTTGTAAAAATGTTGAAAACATTCCAACATCAACCAGCAATAATCATCAGCAGCCATCTATACTTAGAACTTACTTTAAGGATTATGATCCGACTTTTCATTCTTCCGATACATTTGAGTAATTATTTACACTGATTTGTCGATGTAACATAAAGTGGAATAATATGAAATTATAATTAGATTGACTGTTTTGCGAACAGTTTGTTAATTATCTGTTTATCAAGAAGCATCGACAGAAACAAATTTTTTAATATTATTTATAACATGTATATATGTATGTATATATATATATATATATACTATATATATATATATATATATATATATGTAACGTCGTTACCGTTACGGTTACTTTTTTCGGTAACGGTCATTACTTTTTTCTATCTGTAACGGTAACGGTAACGTCGTTACATTTTTACAGTAACGCTAACGAATTAGCCGTTACTTTTACATATAATTATACATTTTAATAGTAATAGGCTCTAGCATTACAAAAACCGAAAATGTAACAAAAAAGTAACAAATCGTTACTTTTTGAGTAACGGTAACGATAACGCGTTAATTTTTATAAACAGTAACGGTAACGCATTACTTTTATAGAGTAACGGTCGTAACTCTGTATGGGTCATATATATATATAATTTGTACAATTATGTGCATATAATTAACAAGCAAAACGTTAAGATATTTTAATTCAGGTATTTATATTTTCATAATTCTGTGCAGATTATCACATACTTCAAGCAATCTTTTAAGTTCTGGTAACGATACTGCAACATCAAGCAGTTTTTATCAGTCAATTGTCAGTACTGACCTTACTGATTTGAGGAATGTGTCGATATGTGTGATACAGAAGTGGAAAAGTTTTTGGAGTGTGATAAAGAAGAAAGTTATTCAATTATCCCGGTCGTAACTCTGTATGGGTCATATATATATATATATATATAATTTGTACAATTATGTGCATATAATTAACAAGCAAAACGTTAAGATATTAATTCAAGATATTTATATTTTCACAATTCTGTGCAGATTATCAAATACTTCAAGCAATCTTTTAAGTTCTGGTAACGATACTGCCACATCAAGCAGTTTTTATCAGTCAATTGTCAGTACTGACCTTACTGATTCTGAGGAATGTGTCGATATGTGTGATACAGAAGTGGAAAAGTTTTTGGAGTGTGATAAAGAAGAAAGTTATTCAATTATTCCGTTTGATAAATATTAATGATTTATACTTTTTTCTCGATGTAATATAAAACAAAATAACATGAAATTATAATTATATGAACTATTTTGCGAATACAGTTTGTTAATTATCAGGCAATTTGTTAGTTATCAAGTTGCTTTTTTAAATTCTTCATATTTATAATTTTTTTACATTTATAATAAGACATTATATATTATATAACATAAATTTATTATTAATTCTGCAAGAATAATTTAAAAGTATTGTATTGATAAAAATATTTAATCAGATATATTTTTGTATTTGTTTTGAAATATATTGTTGATAGTCATTTTGATAAGAATTAAAATATTCAACATAATAAAGAAAGTAGCATTTTTAAATAATTTTAATGGTAAAAGTGAGGACGTTAGACATATTTACACTGTGTATTAATATTTACATTCCTGTAACAAATCATACATTTTCCGGCGACCTTTCCCTTTTTTGTTAATAATATTTTATATTCTTCGTACAGTTTTCGTTAAAATAATTCTTTCTATCCAGTAGTGCACGATCAACGATACAAAGCAGATATCATTATAGCCACGTCGAGCGAAGGTAATAAACTGATTATAGAATTCTATCAAAAAACAATAGTTCATGTAATATTTGTAATAATTTTTATTAATTCTATCGAATACAAAATTAAATTTTAATAAAATCCTGAAAAAGTATACATAGTGATGGTTAACAAAGTCATGTTTCATCATCAAATCACTCACAAAAAATTTAGCAATTTTATTAAAATATTTCGTTACAAAATAAACTATATTACAAAAGAATGAATTACAAAATATCAAAAAAAGTTCTGTTATAAAACTGACCCTAAAACCACACACAAGAATATATTGAATATTAATAAATAACATAATTAAATTATAATTTTGTTTTTCTTAATCATTTATATGTATATCTATATTTTGTGTTGTTTGTGTTTACGTACATTTGTAAGTTTTAAACAGAATAGTATATGTATCATAAATAATGAAATAAAATTCAGACTTTAAAAATGTAATTTTGTCACAGATATTAGATATATACTATTTTAGTACCAATTTCGAAAAAATCGGTTCATAAATATGCAATTGCGTGGGTGAGTGCGTGGGTGGAGGTGTAAAACTTAAAAAAAACCACATAACATCCATCCCCGAAAAATTTGCAACATTTTAGTACCTGTTTTACGAAAATCGGTCCATAAATGTGAAAGTACCGGTTAGACAGACATACAGACAGATGGTGCTTATTATTATAGATATAAATATTTGAGGCTATTTATATAGCTAATATTATATTCAAATGCGATCGTATAAATATGCCATCTGTTGTATTTTATACTCTTGTAATCTATAACAATTTAAATAGGTTGTTGTAATATCTATTTATAATTTTATTAAATTAAATAAGTATAATAATTAAATAATTAAGCAAAAATATTTGTATTTAAATAATAAGTGTATGTCGAATTTATAAAAATAGTAAAAAAAGATTGAAATTTAAATTTTTGTCGAGAAATGTTTAATAAAAATGTTTTATTAAGTTAAAATGTTGTACCTTATATATATATAGATGCCTATATATATATATATATATATATATATATATATATATATATATATATATAGGCATCTATAAATGTTGTACCCTATATATATATAGGCATCTATAAATGTTGTACCATATATATATATATATATATATATATATATATATATATATATATATATATATATATATATATATATAGATGTTTATAATAATAATAATTCATAATTATTTCAACATTCAAACTTTACTTATTTTTTAATTTACCATGAAAATTTTATTGCAGATTATAATTATAAGAGGACAATGGAGATTACTGAAGAAGAAAGTTGTTCATCGTATCCACCTTGTGTTCCTACCAATAAGTAATTATTTACACTGCTTTTTTTAGTGTAACATAAAACAAAATATCACAAAATTATTTTGACTTTTTGAGAACATATAGCTTGTTAATTATCTACATATATATTAAGCATCGATATAGACACAAAATGTTTTAAACTTTTATCAAATGATTTACATTTATTATTTGTATTTAATAATTATACATTATGCACATGAATTACGAACAAGACATTAAAATATATTGATTAATTCGGCAATTTGTACTTTTTATTTTATGCAGAACATCAAGGTCTGATGAATGGATATGGCATTACTTTACAATATATAACGGTGAATTTATCAAATGCGATATTTGTTTTGATGTATTCAACCCCGATATAAAACACAGTTTAAAGATACATATGAGATCACAACATTTAGCAATTTATAATAACTCAGAAACAAAATGGACACATTCTAAAATAGATCACAAATATAAATGTAATTATTGTGATAATACTTATGAACCAATATATAGAACTGATTATTTGATAAACCACATAATAAATAGTCATAAACTTAATAAAGAAATAGCAAATAAACTCCAAACCTGGGTGATTGATCAATTCATTATTCCGAAATGCGAAATTTGCAAACAATTTAGTAAATACCATGCCTTTATATTTATGATACATTTAAAGGAAGTTCATGATGTCATTGTACCTCAAGAATTCATACCACAGAGGTAAGAAGAATAATCGATAAAATTTTATTGCTATGTTTTTTATCTTTTATATGTCTTTTTATTACAAAATGAACAGAAATGTGTACAATAAATAAAAAATAAATTTTAATTTTTAGAAAAATTAAAATATTTAATAAGTATTCAAATTGTATTAATTTAATTATAAAAAAATTGAAAAAAAATAGAAACTAAACTTTTCAATAAGAATTGCTTAAATAAGAAAAAATTTTATTGTAATTAATAATTATTCATTGTACACATGGTTCAAGCGTCTTATAACATTGATTAATTTATAATTTTTGTTGTTAATTTTGTTATGCAGATTATCAATTAGATTAAAAAATCTTTTTGATCCTTGTAAAAATGTTGAAAACATTCCAACATCAACCAGCAATAATCATCAGCAGCCATCTATAATTAGAACTTACTTTAAGGATTATGATCCGACTTTTCATTCTTCCGATACATTTGAGTAATTATTTATACTGATTTCTCGATGTAACATAAAGTGGAATAATATGAAATTATAATTATATTGACTGTTTTACGAACATACAATTTGTTAATTATCTACATATTAAGCATCGATATATAAACACAAAATTAAAAAAAATTTTTTCAAATGATTGACATCTATTATTTGTATTTAATAATTATACGTTATGCACAAGAATTACAAACAAAACTTTAAAATATTGATTAATTCAGCAATATGTACTTTTTATTTTAAGCAGAACATCAAGGTCTCGTGACTGGATCATGGCATTACTTTACAATATATAACGGCGAATTTATCAAATGCGATATTTGTTTTGATGTATTCAACCACGATATAAAACGCAGTTTAAAGATACATATGAGATCACAACATTCTGCAATTTATAATAACTCAGAAACAAAATGGACACATTCTAAAATAGATCACAAATATAAATGTAATTATTGTGATAATACTTATGAACCATATATAGAACTGATAAATGATAAACCACATAAAAAATAGTCATAAACTTAATAAAGAAATAGCAAATAAACTCCAAACCTGGGTGATTGATCAATTCATTATTCCGAAATGCGAAATTTGCAAACAATTTAGTAAATACCATGCCTTTATATTTATGATACATTTAAAGGAAGTTCATGATGTCATTGTACCTCAAGAATTCATACCACAGAGGTAAGAAGAATAATCGATAAAATTTTATTGCTATGTTTTTTATCTTTTATATGTCTTTTTATGTACAAAATGAACAGAAATGTGTACAATAAATAAAAAATAAATTTTAATTTTTAGAAAAATTAAAATATTTAATAAGTATTCAAATTGTATTAATTTAATTATGAAAAAATTGAAAAAAAATAGAAACTAAACTTTTCAATAAGAATTGCTTAAATAAGAAAAAAATTTTATTGTAATTAATAATTATTCATTGTACACATGGTTCAAGCGTCTTATAACATTGATTAATTTATAATTTTTGTTGTTAATTTTGTTATGCAGATTATCAATTAGATTAAAAAATCTTTTTGATCCTTGTAAAAATGTTGAAAACATTCCAACATCAACCAGCAATAATCATCAGCAGCCATCTATAATTAGAACTTACTTTAAGGATTATGATCCGACTTTTCATTCTTCCGATACATTTGAGTAATTATTTATACTGATTTCTCGATGTAACATAAAGTGGAATAATATGAAATTATAATTATATTGACTGTTTTACGAACATACAATTTGTTAATTATCTACATATTAAGCATCGATATATAAACACAAAATTAAAAAAATTTTTTTCAAATATTGACATCTATTATTTGTATTTAATAATTATACGTTATGCACAAGAATTACAAACAAAACTTTAAAATATTGATTAATTCAGCAATATGTACTTTTTATTTTTTTAAACAGAACCTCAAGGTCTCGTGACTCGTGGTCATGGCATTACTTTACAATATATAACGGCGAATTTATCAAATGCAATATTTGTTTTGATGTATTCAACCACGATATAACACACGGTTTAAAGATGCATATGAGATCAAACATTCTGCAATTTATAATAACTCAGAAACAAAATGGACACATTCTAAAATAGATCACAAATTAAAATGCCATTATTGTGATAATACTTATGAACCAATATATAGAACTGATTATTTGATAAACCACATAATAAATAGTCATAAACTTAATAAAGAAATAGCAAATAAACTCCAAACCTGGGTGATTGATCAATTCATTATTCCGAAATGCGAAATTTGCAAACAATTTAGTAAATACCATGCCTTTATATTTATGATACATTTAAAGGAAGTTCATGATGTCATTGTACCTCAAGAATTCATACCACAGAGGTAAGAAGAATAATCGATAAAATTTTATTGCTATGTTTTTTATCTTTTATATGTCTTTTTATGTACAAAATGAACAGAAATGTGTACAATAAATAAAAATAAATTTTAATTTTTAGAAAAATTAAAATATTTAATAAGTATTCAAATTGTATTAATTTAATTATGAAAAAATTGAAAAAAAATAGAAACTAAACTTTTCAATAAGAATTGCTTAAATAAGAAAAAATTTTATTGTAATTAATAATTATTCATTGTACACATGGTTCAAGCGTCTTATAACATTGATTAATTTATAATTTTTGTTGTTAATTTTGTTATGCAGATTATCAATTAGATTAAAAAATCTTTTTGATCCTTGTAAAAATGTTGAAAACATTCCAACATCAACCAGCAATAATCATCAGCAGCCATCTATAATTAGAACTTACTTTAAGGATTATGATCCGACTTTTAATTCTTCCGATACATTTGAGTAATTATTTACACTGATTTGTGATGTAACATAAAGTGGAATAATATGAAATTATAATTAGATTGACTGTTTTGCGAACAGTTTGTTAATTATCTGTTTATCAAATAATCACATATATATATATATATAATATATATGTTATAAATAATATTAAAAAATTTGTTTCTGTCGATGCTTAACTAAAAAATAACGATAAAGTAACGGCTAATTCGTTAGCGTTACGGTAAAAATGTAACGACGTTATCGTTACCGTTACAGATAGAAAAAAGTAATGACCGTTACCGAAAAACCGTTACTTTTTTCGGTAACGGTCATTACTTTTTCTATCTGTAACGGTAACGGTAACGTCGTTACATTTTTACAGTAACGCTAACGAAATAGCCGTTACTTTTATCGTTATTTTTTAGTTCTATCTGAGTTAATATTAAATTAATATATAATAATATATAATTAATATATAATAAATAATAAAGAATGCAGTCAATAAATGCAAATAAATATTTAATATTAAGAAACGCTTCCTACATATAATTATACATTTTAATAGTAATAGGCTCTAGCATTACAAAAACCGAAATGTAACAAAAAAGTAACAAATCGTTACTTTTTGAGTAACGGTAACGATAACGCGTTAATTTTTATAAACAGTAACGGTAACGCATTACTTTTATAGAGTAACGGTCGTAACTCTGTATGGGTCATATATATATATAATTTGTACAATTATGTGCATATAATTAACAAGCAAAACGTTAAGATATTTTAATTCAGGTATTTATATTTTCATAATTCTGTGCAGATTATCACATACTTCAAGCAATCTTTTAAGTTCTGGTAACGATACTGCAACATCAAGCAGTTTTTATCAGTCAATTGTCAGTACTGACCTTACTGATTTTGAGGAATGTGTCGATATGTGTGATACAGAAGTGGAAAGTTTTTGGAGTGTGATAAAGAAGAAAGTTATTCAATTATCCCGGTCGTAACTCTGTATGGGTCATATATATATATATATATTTGTACAATTATGTGCATATAATTAACAAGCAAAACGTTAAGATATTAATTCAAGATATTATATTTTCACAATTCTGTGCAGATTATCAAATACTTCAAGCAATCTTTTAAGTTCTGGTAACGATACTGCAACATCAAGCAGTTTTTATCAGTCAATTGTCAGTACTGACCTTACTGATTTTGAGGAATGTGTCGATATGTGTGATACAGAAGTGGAAAAGTTTTTGGAGTGTGATAAAGAAGAAAGTTATTCATTATCCCGGTCGTAACTCTGTATGGGTCATATATATATATATATAATTTGTACAATTATGTGCATATAATTAACAAGCAAAACGTTAAGATATTAATTCAAGATATTTATATTTCACAATTCTGTGCAGATTATCAAATACTTCAAGCAATCTTTTAAGTTCTGGTAACGATACTGCAACATCAAGCAGTTTTTATCAGTCAATTGTTAGTACTGACCTTACTGATTCTGAGGAATGTGTCGATATGTGTGATACAGAAGTGGAAAAGTTTTTGGAGTGTGATAAAGAAGAAAGTTCAATTATTCCGTTTGATAAATATTAATGATTTATACTTTTTTCTCGATGTAATATAAAACAAAATAACATGAAATTATAATTATATGAACTATTTTGCGAATACAGTTTGTTAATTATCAGGCAATTTGTTAGTTATCAAGTTGCTTTTTTAAATTCTTCATATTTATAATTTTTTTACATTTATAATAAGACATTATATATTATAAAATAAATTTATTATTAATTCTGCAAGAATATTTTAAAAGTATTGTATTGATAAAAATATTTAATCAGATATATTTTTGTATTTGTTTTGAAATATATTGTTGATAGTCATTTTGATAAGAATTAAAATATTCAACATAATAAAGAAAGTAGCATTTTTAAATAATTTTAATGGTAAAAGTGAGACGTTAGACATATTTACACTGTGTATTAATATTTACATTCCTGTAACAAATCATACATTTTCCGGCGACCTTTCCCTTTTTGTTAATAATATTTTATATTCTTCGTACAGTTTTCGTTAAAATAATTCTTTCTATCCAGTAGTGCACGATCAACGATACAAAGCAGATATCATTATAGCCACGTCGAGCGAAGGTAATAAACTGATTATAGAATTCTATCAAAAAACAATAGTTCATGTAATATTTGTAATAATTTTTATTAATTCTATCGAATACAAAATTAAATTTTAATAAAATCCTGAAAAAGTATACATAGTGATGGTTAACAAAGTCATGTTTCATCATCAAATCACTCACAAAAAATTTAGCAATTTTATTAAAATATTTCGTTACAAAATAAACTATATTACAAAAGAATGAATTACAAAATATCAAAAAAAGTTCTGTTATAAAACTGACCCTAAAACCACACACAAGAATATATTGAATATTAATAAATAACATAATTAAATTATAATTTTGTTTTTCTTAATCATTTATATGTATATCTATATTTTGTGTTGTTGTGTTTACGTACATTTGTAAGTTTTAAACAGAATAGTATATGTATCATAAATAATTAAATAGAATTCAGACTTTAAAAATGTAATTTTGTCACAGATATTAGATATATACTATTTTAGTACCAATTTCGAAAAAATCGGTTCATAAATATGCAATTGCGTGGGTGAGTGCGTGGGTGGAGGTGTAAAACTTAAAAAAAACCACATAACATCCATCCCCGAAAAATTTGCAACATTTTAGTACCTGTTTTACGAAAATCGGTCCATAAATGTGAAAGTACCGGTTAGACAGACATACAGACAGATGGTGCTTATTATTATAGATATAAATATTTGAGGCTATTTATATAGCTAATATTATATTCAAATGCGATCGTATAAATATGCCATCTGTTGTATTTTATACTCTTGTAATCTATAACAATTTAAATAGGTTGTTGTAATATCTATTTATAATTTTATTAAATTAAATAAGTATAATAATTAAATAATTAAGCAAAAATATTTGTATTTAAATAATAAGTGTATGTCGAAATTATAAAAATAGTAAAAAAAGATTGAAATTTAAATTTTTGTCGAGAAATGTTTAATAAAAATGTTTTATTAAGTTAAAATGTTGTACCCTATATATATATAGATCCTATATATATATATATATATAGGCATATAAAATGTTGTACCCTATATATATATAGGCATCTATAAATGTTGTACCCTATATATATATATATATATATATATATATATATATATATATAGATGTTTTATTAATAATAATAATTCATAATTATTTCAACATTCAAACTTACTTATTTTTGAATTTACCATGAAAATTTTATTGCAGATTATAATTATAAGAGGACAATGGAGATTACTGAAGAAGAAAGTTGTTCATCGTATCCACCTTGTGTTCCTACCAATAAGTAATTATTTACACTGCTTTTTTTAGTGTAACATAAAACAAAATATCACAAAATTATTTTGACTTTTTGAGAACATATAGCTTGTTAATTATCTACATATATATTAAGCATCGATATAGACACAAAATGTTTTAAACTTTTATCAAATGATTTACATTTATTATTTGTATTTAATAATTATACATTATGCACATGAATTACGAACAAGACATTAAAATATATTGATTAATTCAGCAATTTGTACTTTTATTTTATGCAGAACATCAAGGTCTGATGAATGGATATGGCATTACTTTACAATATATAACGATGAATTTATCAAATGCGATATTTGTTTTAGTGTATTTAACCCCGATATAAAACACAGTTTAAAGATACATATGAGATCAAAACATTTAGCAATTTATAATAACTCAGAAACAAAATGGACACATTCTAAAATAGATCACAAATATAAATGTAATTATTGTGATAATACTTATGAACCAATATATAGAACTGATTATTTGATAAACCACATAATAAATAGTCATAAACTTAATAAAGAAATAGCAAATAAACTCCAAACCTGGGTGATTGATCAATTCATTATTCCGAAATGCGAAATTTGCAAACAATTTAGTAAATACCATGCCTTTATATTTATGATACATTTAAAGAAAGTTCATGATGTCATTGTACCTCAAGAATTCATACCACAGAGGTAAGAAGAATAATCGATAAAATTTTATTGCTATGTTTTTTATCTTTTATATGTCTTTTTATGTACAAAATGAACAGAAATGTGTACAATAAATAAAAAATAAATTTTAATTTTAGAAAAATTAAAATATTTAATAAGTAAATTAAAATATTTAATAAGTATTCAAATTGTATTAATTTAATTATGAAAAAATTGAAAAAAATAGAAACTAAACTTTTCAATAAGAATTGCTTAAATAAGAAAAAAATTTTATTGTAATTAATAATTATTCATTGTACACATGGTTCAAGCGTCTTATAACATTGATTAATTTATAATTTTTGTTGTTAATTTTGTTATGCAGATTATCAATTAGATTAAAAAATCTTTTTGATCCTTGTAAAAATGTTGAAAACATTCCAACATCAACCAGCAATAATCATCAGCAGCCATCTATAATTAGAACTTACTTTAAGGATTATGATCCGACTTTTCATTCTTCCGATACATTTGAGTAATTATTTATACTGATTTCTCGATGTAACATAAAGTGGAATAATATGAAATTATAATTATATTGACTGTTTTACGAACATACAATTTGTTAATTATCTACATATTAAGCATCGATATATAAACACAAAATTAAAAAAAATTTTTTCAAATGATTGACATCTATTATTTGTATTTAATAATTATACGTTATGCACAAGAATTACAAACAAACTTTAAAATATTGATTAATTCAGCAATATGTACTTTTTTTTTTGCAGAACATCAAGGTCTGTGACTGGTCATGGCATTACTTTACAATATATAACGGCGAATTTATCAAATGCGATATTTGTTTTGATGTATTCAACCACGATATAACACACAGTTTAAAGATACATATGAGATCACAACATTCTGCAATTTATAATAACTCAGAAACAAAATGGACACATTCTAAAATAGATCACAAATATAAATGTAATTATTGTGATAATACTTATGAACCAATATATAGAACTGATAATTGATAAACCACATAAAAAATAGTCATAAACTTAATAAAGAAATAGCAAATAAACTCCAAACCTGGGTGATTGATCAATTCATTATTCCGAAATGCGAAATTTGCAAACAATTTAGTAAATACCATGCCTTTATATTTATGATACATTTAAAGAAAGTTCATGATGTCATTGTACCTCAAGAATTCATACCACAGAGGTAAGAAGAATAATCGATAAAATTTTATTGCTATGTTTTTTATCTTTTATATGTCTTTTATGTACAAAATGAACAGAAATGTGTACAATGAATAAAAAATAAATTTTAATTATTAAAATGCGTAGGAATATGAATATATTGAGTCAATATAAAACTTGTAGCTAATATATATTATATATAAATGTAATTACACAAATTTGGTCCTATTGTATTCTTGTAATTGGTAATGTTTAATAATTTAATTAAGTATAAATTATGAATAGTATAAAAATTAAAATAATCGGACAAGGAATCTGGTGATTTAAATTAATATTTGTATATACATTTATGAAAATATTTAAAAAGCAAAAAAATTAAAATATTTAATAGTATTCAAAATTGTATTAATTTAATTAAAAAAAATTGAAAGTAATAGAAACGAAAATTTTCAATAAGAATTGCTTAAATAAGAAAAAAGTTTTATTGTGATTAATAGATTCATTTTGCACAATGGTTTCAAGCAAGTTTATAACATTGATAATTCAAAATTTTTGTGTTAATTTGTTAGGCAGATTATCATATAGATTATAAAAAAATCTTTTTGATTCTTTGTAAAAATGTGAAACATTCCAACATCAACCAGCAATTAATCATCAGCAGACCATATATACTTAGAACTTACTTTAAGGATTATGATTCCGACTTTAATTCTTCCGATTACATTTGAGTAAATTATTTTACACTGATTTGTTCGATGTGTAACATAAAGTGGAAAATATGAAATTATAATAGATGACTGTTTTGCGAACAGTTTGTTAATTATCTGTTTATCGAGAAGCATCGACAGAACAAATTTTTTTAATATTACTTTATAAAAATATAATATATATGATATATATATGTTATATAATATTAAAATTTGTTTCTTTTCGAATGTAACTAAAAAAATAACGATAAAAGTAACGGCTAATTCGTTGGTTACGGTTAAAAATGTAAAACGTTACCGTTACCGTTACAGATAGAAAAAGTAATGACCGTTAACGAAAGAAGTAAACGGTTTTTTTTATCGGTAACGGTCATTACTTTTTCTAACGGTTTTTTCGGTAACGTCATTACTTTTTTCTATCTGTAACGGTAACGGTAACGTCGTTACTTTTACAGTAACGCTAACGAATTAGCCGTTACTTGTATCGTTATTTTTTAGCTATCTGAGTAATATTAAAATTAATATATAATAAATAATAAGATTGCATGCAATAAATGCAAATAAATATTTAATATTAGAAAAACGTTCCTACATATAATTATACATTTTATAGTAATAGGCTCTAGCATTACAAAACCGAAAATGTAACAAAAAAGTAAACAAATCGTTACTTTTTGAGTAACGGTAACGATAACGCGTTAATTTTATAAACAGTAACGGTAACGCATTACTTTTATAGAGTAACGGTCGTAACTCTGTATGGGTCATATATATATATAATTTGTACAATTATGTGCATATAATTAACAAGCAAAACGTTAAGATATTTTAATTCAGGTATTTATATTTCATATTCTGTGCATTATCACATACTTCAAGCAATCTTTTAAGTTCTGGTAACGATACTGCAACATCAAGCAGTTTTTATCAGTCAATTGTCAGTACTGACCTTACTGATTCTGAGGAATGTGTCGATATGTGTGATACAGAAGTGGAAAAGTTGTTGGAGTGTGATAAAGAAGAAAGTTATTCAATTATCCCGGTCGTAACTCTGTATGGGTCATATATATATATAATTTGTACAATTATGTGCATATAATAACAAGCAAAACGTTAAGAGATATTAATTCAAGATATTTATATTTTCATCATTCTGTGCAGATTATCAAATACTTCAAGCAATATTTAAGTTCTGGTAACGATACTGCCACATCAAGCAGTTTTTATCAGTCAATTGTTAGTACTGACCTTACTGATTCTGAGGAATGTGTCGATATGTGTGATACAGAAGTGGAAAAGTTTTTGGAGTGTGATAAAGAAGAAAGTTCAATTATCCCGTTTGATAAATATTAATGATTTATACTCTTTCTCGATGTAATATAAAAACAAAATAACATGAAATTATAATTATATGAAACTATTTTGCGAATACAGTTGTTAATTATCAGGCAATTTGTTAGTTATAAAGTGCTTTTTTAAATTCTTCATATTTATAATTTTTTTACATTTATATATAAGACATTATATAGTTATAAAACAGAAAACTTATTATTAATTCTGAAGAATAATTTTAAAAAGTATTGTATGATAAAAATATTAATCAAAATATTATTTGTATTGTTTTGAACTATATTGTTGATAGTCATTTTGATATAAAAAATTAAAATATTCAACATAACAAAGAAAGTAGCATTTTTAAATAATTTTAATGTAAAAGGAGGACGTTAGACATTATTTACACTGTGTATTATATTACATTCCTGTAACAAATCATACATTTTCCGGCGACCTTTCCCTTTTTGTTAATAATATTTTATTCTTGTGTACAGTTTTCGTTAAAATAATTCTTTCTATCCCAGTAGTGCACGATCAACGATACAAAGAAGATAATCATTATAGCCACGTCGAGCGAAGGTATAAACTGATATAGAATTCTATAATAAAACAATAGTTATGTAATATTTGTGATAATTTTATTAAGCTATCGAATACAAAATTAAATTTTAATAAAATCCTGAAAAAAGTATACAAAGTGATGGGTTAACAAAGTCATGTTTCATCATCAAATCACTCACAAAAAATTAGCCATTTTATTTAAAATATTTCGTTACAAAATAAACTATATTACAAAAGAATGAATTACAAAATATAAAAAAAAGTTTGTTATAAAATGACCCTAAAACCACACAGAATATATTGAATATTAATAAATAACATAATTAAATTATAATTTTGTTTTTCTTAATCATTTATGTATATCTATATTTTGTGTTGTTTGTGTTTACGTACATTTGTAAGTTTTAAACAGAATAGTATATGTATCATAATAATAATGAAATAAATTCAGACTTTAAAATGTAATTTTGTCACAGATATTAGATATATACTATTTTAGTACCAATTTCGAAAAAATCGGTCCATAAATATGCAATTGCGTGGGTGGGTGCGTGGGTGGAGGTGTAAAACTTAAAAAAAACCACAAACATCCATCCCCGAAAAATTTGCAACATTTTAGTACCTGTTTTACGAAAATCGGTCCATAAATGTGAAAGTACCGGTTAGACAGACATACAGACAGATGGTGCTTATTATTATAGATATAAATATTTGAGGCTATTTATATAGCTAATATTATATTCAAATGCGATCGTATAAATATGCCATCTGTTGTATTTTATACTCTTGTAATCTATAACAATTTAAATAGGTTGTTGTAATATCTATTTATAATTTTATTAAATTAAATAAGTATAATAATTAAATAATTAAGCAAAAATATTTGTATTTAAATAATAAGTGTATGTCGAATTTATAAAATAGTAAAAAAAGATTGAAATTTAAATTTTGTCGAGAAATGTTTAATAAAAATGTTTTATTAAGTTAAAATGTTGTACCCTATATATATATATATATATATATATATATATATATATATAATATATATATATATATATATATAGGCATCTATAAATGTTGTACCCTATATATATATATATATATATATATATATATATATATATTTTTTATTAATAATAATAATTCATAATTATTTCAACATTCAAACTTTACTTATTTTTGAATTTACCATGAAAATTTTATTGCAGATTATAATTATAAGAGGACAATGGAGATTACTGAAGAAGAAAGTTGTTCATCGTATCCACCTTGTGTTCCTACCAATAAGTAATTATTTACACTGCTTTTTTTAGTGTAACATAAAACAAAATATCACAAAATTATTTTGACTTTTTTGAGAACATATAGCTTGTTAATTATCTACATATATATTAAGCATCGATATAGACACAAAATGTTTTAAACTTTTGTCAAATGATTTACATATTATTTATTTGTATTTATAATTATACATTATGCACATGAATTACGAACAAAACATTAAAATATTGATTAATTCAGCAATTTGTACTTTTTATTTTATGCAGAACATCAAGGTCTGATGAATGGATATGGCATTACTTTACAATATATAACGGTGAATTTATCAAATGCGATATTTGTTTTATGTATTCAACCCCGATATAAAACACGCAGTTTAAAGATACATATGAGATCAAAACATTTAGCAATTTATAATAACTCAGAAACAAAATGGACACATTCTAAAATAGATCACAAATATAAATGTAATTATTGTGATAATACTTATGAACCAGTATATAGAACTGATTATTTGATAAACCACATAATAAATAGTCATAAACTTAATAAAGAAATAGCAAATAAACTCCAAACCTGGGTGATTGATCAATTCATTATTCCGAAATGCGAAATTTGCAAACAATTTAGTAAATACCATGCCTTTATATTTATGATACATTTAAAGAAAGTTCATGATGTCATTGTACCTCAAGAATTCATACCACAGAGGTAAGAAGAATAATCGATAAAATTTTATTGCTATGTTTTTTATCTTTTATATGTCTTTTTATGTACAAAATGAACAGAAATGTGTACAATAAATAAAAAATAAATTTTAATTTTTAGAAAAATTAAAATATTTAATAAGTATTCAAATTGTATTAATTTAATTATGAAAAAATTGAAAAAAAATAGAAACTAAACTTTTCAATAAGAATTAATTAAATAAAAAAAAATTTTATTGTAATTAATAATTATTCATTGTACACATGGTTCAAGCGTCTTATAACATTGATTAATTTATCATTTTTGTTGTTAATTTTGTTATGCAGATTATCAATTAGATTAAAAAATCTTTTTGATCCTTGTAAAAATGTTGAAAACATTCCAACATCAACCAGCAATAATCATCAGCAGCCATCTATAATTAGAACTTACTTTAAGGATTATGATCCGACTTTTCATTTCTTCCGATACATTTGACATGAGTAATTATTATACTGATTTCTCGATGTAACATAAAGTGGAATAATATGAAAATAATTATATTGACTGTTTTACGAACATACAATTTGTTAATTATCTACATATTAAGCATCGATATATAAACACAAAATTAAAAAAAATTTTTTTCAAATGATTGACATCTATTATTTGTATTTAATAATTATACGTTATGCACAAGAATTACAAACAAAACTTAAAATATTGATTAATTCAGCAATATGTACTTTTTATTTTTTAAGCAGAACATCAAGGTCTCGTGACTCGTGGTCATGGCATTACTTTACAATATATAACGGCGAATTTATCAAATGCGATATTTGTTTTGATGTATTCAATTACGATATAACACAGGGTTTAAAGACACATATGAGATCACAACATTCTGCAATTTATAATAACTCAGAAACAAAATGGACACATTCTAAAATAAATCACAAATTAAAATGCCATTATTGTGATAATACTTATGAACCTATATAGAACTGATAATATGATAAAACACATAAAAAATAGTCATAAACTTAATAAAGAAATAGCAAATAAACTCCAAACCTGGGTGATTGATCAATTCATTATTCCGAAATGCGAAATTTGCAAACAATTTAGTAAATACCATGCCTTTATATTTATGATACATTTAAAGGAAGTTCATGATGTCATTGTACCTCAAATTCATACCACAGAGGTAAGAAGAATAATCGATAAAATTTTATTGCTATGTTTTTATCTTTTATATGTCTCTTTATGTACAAAATGAACAGAAATGTGTACAATAAATAAAAAATAAATTTTAATTTTTAGAAAAATTAAAATATTTAATAAGTATTCAAATTGTATTAATTTAATTATTATGAAAAAATTGAAAAAAATAGAAACTAAACTTTTCAATAAGAATTGCTTAAATAAGAAAAAATTTTATTGTAATTAATAATTATTCATTGTACACATGGTTCAAGCGTCTTATAACATTGATTAATTTATAATTTTTGTTGTTAATTTTGTTATGCAGATTATCAATTAGATTAAAAAATCTTTTTAATCCTTGTAAAAATGTTGAAAACATTCCAACATCAACCAGCAATAATCATCAGCAGCCATCTATACTTAGAACTTACTTTAAGGATTATGATCCGACTTTTATTTCTTCCGATACATTTGAGTAATTATTTACACTGATTTGTCGATGTAACATAAAGTGGAATAATATGAAATTATAATTAGATTGACTGTTTTGCGAACAGTTTGTTTATTATCTGTTTATCAAGAAGCATCGACAGAAACAAATTTTTTAATATATTTATAACATATATATATATATATTATATATATATATAACTATATATATATATATATATGTAACGTCGTTACCGTTACCGTTACTTTTTTCGGTAACGGTCATTACTTTTTTCTATTTGTAACGGTAACGGTAACGTCGTTACATTTTTACAGTAACGCTAACGAATTAGCCGTTACTTTTATCGTTATTTTTTAGTTCTATCTGATTTAATATGAAATTAATATATAATAAATAATAAAGATTGCATGCAATAAATGCAAATAAATATTTAATATTTAAGAAACGCTTCCTACATATAATTATACATTTTAATAGTAATAGGCTCTAGCATTACAAAACCGAAAATGTAACAAAAAAGTAACAAATCGTTACTTTTTGAGTAACGGTAACGATAACGCGTTAATTTTTATAAACAGTAACGGTAACGCATTACTTTATAGAGTAACGGTCGTAACTCTGTATGGGTCATATATATATACAATTTGTACAATTATGTGCATATAATTAACAAGCAAAACGTTAAGATATTTTTATTCAGGTATTTATTTTTCATAATTCTGTGCAGATTATCACATACTTCAAGCAATCTTTTAAGTTCTGGTAACGATACTGCAACATCAAGCAGTTTTTATCAGTCAATTGTCAGTTGACCTTACTGATTCTGAGGAATGTGTCGATATGTGTAATACAAGTGGAAAAGTTTTTGGAGTGTGATAAAGAAGAAAGTTATTCAATTATCCCGGTCGTACTCTGTATGGGTCATATATATATATAATTTGTACAATTATGTGCATATAATTAACAAGCAAAACGTTAAGATATTAATTCAAGATATTTATTTTTCACAATTCTGTGCAGATTATCAAATACTTCAAGCAATCTTTTAAGTTCTGGTAACGATACTGCCACATCAAGCAGTTTTTATCAGTCAATTGTTAGTACTGACCTTACTGATTCTGAGGATTGTGTCGATATGTGTGATACAGAAGTGGAAAAGTTTTTGGAGTGTGATAAAGAAGAAAGTTCAATTATCCCGTTTGATAATATTAATGATTTATACTCTTTTCTCGATGTAATATAAAACAAAATAACATGAAATTATAATTAATATATGAACTATTTTGCGAACATAGTTTGTTAATTATCAGGCAATTTGTTAGTTATCAAATTGCTTTTTAAATTCTTCATATTTATATTTTTTTACATTTATAATAAGACATTATATATTATAAAACATAAACTTATTATTAATTCTGCAAGAATAATTTTAAAAGTATTGTATTGATAAAAATATTTAATCAGACATTTTTTGTATTTGTTTTGAAATATATTGTTGATAGTCATTTTGATAATAATTGTTATAAAATATTCAACATAAAGAAAAGTAGCATTTTTAAATTTTTAATGATAAAAATGAGGACGTTAGACATATTTACACTGTGTATTAATATTTACATTCCTATAACAAATCATACATTTTCCGGCAACCTTTCCCTTTTTGTTAATAATATTTTATATTCTTCGTACAGTTTTCGTTAAAAATTCTTCTATCCAGTAGTGCACGATCAACGATACAAAGCAGATATCATTATAGCCACGTCGAGCGAAGGTAATAAACTGATTATAGAATTCTATCAAAAAACAATAGTTCATGTAATATTTGTAATAATTTTATTAATTCTATCGAAACAAAATTAAATTTAATAAAATCCTGAAAAAGTATACATAGTGATGGTTAACAAAAGTCATGTTTCATCATCAAATCACTCACAAAAATTTTAGCAATTTTATTAAAATATTTCGTTACAAAATAAACTATATTACAAAAAAATGAATTACAAAATATCAAAAAAAGTTTCTGTATAAAACTGACCCTAAAAACCACACACAAGATATATTGAAATTAATAAAAACATATTAAATTATAATTTTGTTTTTCTTAATCATTTATATGTATATCTATATTTTGTGTTGTTTTGTTTACGTACATTTGTAAGTTTTAAAAGAACATAATAGTATATGTATCATAAATAATTAAATAAATTCAGACTTTAAAAATGTAATTTTGTCACAGATATTAGATAATACTATTTTAGTACCAATTTCGAAAAAAATCGGTCCATAAATATGCAATTGCGTGGGTGAGTGCGTGGGTGGAGGTGTAAAACTTAAAAAAAACCACATAACATCCATCCCCGAAAAATTTGCAACATTTTAGTACCTGTTTTACGAAAATCGGTCCATAAATGTGAAAGTACCGGTTAGACAGACATACAGACAGATGGTGCTTATTATTATAGATATAAATATTTGAGGCTATTTATATAGCTAATATTATATTCAAATGCGATCGTATAATATGCCATCTGTTGTATTTTATACTCTTGTAATCTATAACAATTAAATAGGTTGTTGTAAATATCTATTTATAATTTTATTAAATTATAAGTATAATAATTAAATAATTAGCAAAATATTTGTATTTAAATAATAAGTGTATGTCGAATTTATAAAAATAGTAAAAAAAGATTGAAATTTTAAATTTTTGTCGAAATGTTTATAAAAATGTTTTTAATTAAGTTAAAAATGTTTGTACCTTAATATATATATATAGATGCCTATCTATAATATATATATATAATATTATATATATATATAATAATATATATATATAGGCATCTATAATGTTGTACCCCATATATATATAGGCATCTATAATGTTGTACCATATATATATTATATTATATATTATGTATATATATATATTTATATATATATTATATATATATATATAGATGTTTTAATTAATAATAATAATTCATAATTATTTCAACATTCAAATGAATACTTATTTTTTATTTACCATGAAAATTTTTATTGCAGATTAATAATATAAGAGGACAATGAGATTACTGAAGAAGAAAGTTGTTCATCGTATCCACCTTTTGTTCCTACCAATAAGTAATTAATTTACACTGCTTTTTTTAGTGTAACATAAAACAAAATATCACAAATTATTTGACTTTTTTGAGAACATTAGCTTGTTAATTATCTACATTATATTAAGCATCGATATAGACACAAAATGTTTTAAACTTTTGTCAATGATTTACATTATTTTTGTATTTAATAATTATACATTATGCAATGAATTACGAACAAGACATTAAAATATATTGATTAATTCAGCAATTTGTACTTTTTATTTTATGCAGAACATCAAGGTCTGATGAATGGATATGGCATTACTTTACAATATATAACGGCGAATTTATCAAATGCAATATTGTTTTGATGTATTTAACCACGATATAACACACGGTTTAAAGATGCATATGAGATCACAACATTCTGCAATTTATAATAACTCAGAAACAAAATGGACACATTCTAAAATAAATCACAAATTAAATGCATTATTGTAATTCTTATGAACCAATATATCGAACTGATTATTTGATAACCACTAAAAAAATAGTCATAAACTTAATAAAGAAATAGCAAATAAACTCCAAACCTGGGTGATTGATCAATTCATTATTCCAAATGCGAAATTGCAAACAATTTAGTAAATACCATGCCTTTATATTTATGATACATTTAAAGAAAGTTCATGATGTCATTGTACCTCAAGAATCATACCACAGAGGTAAGAAGAATAATCGATAAAATTTTATTGCTATGTTTTTTTATCTTTTATATGTCTTTTTTATGTACAAAATGAACAGAAATGTGTACAATAAATAAAAAATAAATTTTAATTTTTAGAAAAATTAAAATATTTAATAAGTATCAAATTATATTAATTTCATTATGAAAAATTGAAAAAAAATAGAAACTAAAACTTTTCAATAGAATTGCTTAAATAAGAAAAAAATTTATTGTAATTAATAATTATTCATTGTACACATGGTTCAAGCGTCTTATAACATTGATTAATTTATAATTTTTGTTGTTAATTTTGTTATGCAGATTATCAATTAGATTAAAAAATCTTTTGATCCTTGTAAAAATGTTGAAAACATTCCAACATCAACCAGCAATAATCATCAGCAGCCATCTATAATTAGAACTTACTTTAAGGATTATGATCCGACTTTTCATTCTTCCGATACATTTGAGTAATATTTATACTGATTTCTCGATGTAACATAAAGTGGAATAATATGAAATTATAATTTATTGACTGTTTTACGAACATACAATTTGTTAATTATCTACATATTAAGCATCGATATATAAACACAAAATTAAAAAATTTTTTTCAAATGATTGACATCTATTATTTGTATTTAATAATTATACGTTATGCACAAGAATTACGAACAAAACTTTAAAATATTGATTAATTCAGCATATGTACTTTTTATTTTTTTAAGCAGAACTCAAGGTCTCGTGACTCGTGGTCATGGCATTACTTTACAATATATAACGGCGAATTTATCAAATGCAATATTTGTTTTGATGTATTCAACAACGATATAACACACGGTTTAAAGCAACATATGAGATCACAACATTCTGCAATTTATAATAACTCAGAAACAAAATGGACACATTCTAAAATAAATCACAATTAAAATGCCATTATTGTGATAATACTTATGAACCAGTATATAGAACTGATAATATGATAAAGCACATAAAAAATAGTCATAAACTTAATAAAGAAATAGCAAATAAACTCCAAACCTGGGTGATTGATCAATTCATTATTCCGAAATGCGAAATTTGCAAACAATTTAGTAAATACCATGCCTTTATATTTATGATACATTTAAAGAAAGTTCATGATGTCATTGTACCTCAAGAATTCATACCACAGAGGTAAGAAGAATAATCGATAAATTTTATTGCTATGTTTTTTATCTTTTATAGTCTTTTTATGTACAAAATGAACAGAAATGTGTACAATAAATAAAAATTAAATTTTATTTTTAGAAATTAAAAATATTTAATAAGTATTCAAATTGTATTAATTTAATTATAAAAAATTGAAAAAAAATAGAAACTAAACTTTTAATAAGAATTGCTTAAATAAGAAAAAAATTTTATTGTAATTAATAATTATTCATTGTACACATGGTTCAAGCGTCTTATAACATTGATTAATTTATAATTTTTGTTGTTAATTTTGTTATGCAGATTATCAATTAGATTAAAAAATCTTTTTAATCCTGTAAAAATGTTGAAAACATTCCAACATCAACCAGCAATAATCATCAGCAGCCATCTATAATTAGAACTTACTTTAAGGATTATGATCCGACTTTTATTTCTTCCGATACATTTGAGTAATTATTTACACTGATTTGTCGATGTAACATAAAGTGGATAATATGAAATTATAATTAGATTGACTGTTTTGCGAACATTTGTTAATTATCTGTTTATCAAGAAGCATCGACAGAAACCAAATTTTTAATATATAATTTATAACATATATAATATAAATATATTATATATATAATAGGTTATATATATTATGTAACGTCGTTACCGTTACCGTTATTTTTCGGTAACGTTCCTTACTTTTTTTCTATCTGTAACGGTAACGGTACGTCGTTACATTTTTACAGTAACGCTAACGAATTAGCCGTTTACTTTTATCGTTGTTTTTTAGTTCTATCTGAGTTAATATTAAATTCATATATAATAAATAATAAAGATTGCAATGCA